TACAGTAAATAGATAGACATTTTTACAGTTTTTACTACCAAAAAAACAAGCATCGGCTGTGTTACTGCAAAATGGGCCCATGAAGTAATCTTAGTATTTTAATAATAAAAATTAAATGTGAAAAGAAACATACCCCATTTCACCTTAGGGGCCGTCCATTAATCACGTGAGGCTTAGAAGGGGATGTAACAAAAATCACGAAATATGACATAGGGGTTCTAGTGAGATATCACGTGTATTTATTCATTACCTAAATCCAAAACAAATTTCCAAAAAATTTCAAAAAGATGTACGATTATTTATTAGTGCTACATATACAGGTGATGTTGGGTGGTCGGGGGAGTTGACCAAAAGTCCTTAAAAATCGATCACGTGATTAATCGACAGCCCCTCATAAAAATTTAGTACGTTTTGGCAACTTACCGTTGTGGGGCTTGTTAATTGTTCGCTATAGGCTCAGCCGATCGACTCCGAGCTGGCTGCGAAATTACTTGGCCGTGGTGTCGCAGTGTCCCCTGTCGTTACGGTTGAACCGAGAAGGCGTAAGTTCCACAAAGCCATCACGCTCAGCATGCCGGCGCCGAGGGCGCACAGCCAGGGTATGATTAACCAGTACTCTGGGTCAGTACCGACGCTGCGATTGCTCTGCTCGATTACAGGTCAGCCACTGGAAATTTATTTCAAATTAATATATTGACGTGCATAAATATATATACATATATATATATATATACATATATATATATATATATATGATTGAAATGCGTACACACCCATATAAATATATATGTATATATAAATATCTGTGTGTGTGCTAAAAACGTTTGATGCAAGTTTTATGAATTGCAACTAATTATTTTAGATGAACATGATGCACATATTAAGAGCATTCTACTTTATTCTACAGTGAAATCATGGGGCCAATTCTCTGCTAAAATAGTTGTGGTAATGTAAATGCTATGTTACGGGTCTATATTCGTATTAGTTGGCAGTAGCAACATGCCAAAAGGCTATGTATTCACTGTTCAATTAGGCGTTTACCTATTTCGTTTACCTGTTTAGACGTATTTTCATTTTATTACATTGGCCATGAAGACGGCAATCTTCACGGCATTGAGAGTTTACACCGGACAGTTGCTACCCTGTAGAGGAGCTAGCGGATTTGGATCGGACTTATTGTTCTCACTTCTAAAACTAAAGTCCGCGTAACAAAATATGTAATAAATAATCAATAAATATATCTTCCTCAATTAGAACTTAGTGACAAATCATTAGTGTAATAATAATGTAACCATACGTCCCTATTGTTCAGATGTATTTTCATTTTATTACATTGGCCATGAAGCCGGCAATCTTCATGGCATTCGGCTTTTACACTAGATGGAGGGGGTAGCGGAGATTTTGGATCGGACTTATTTTTTTCACTTCTAAAACTAAAGTTCGCGTAACAACATATGTAATAAATAATCGATAGATAAATTTTCTTAAATTAGAACCTAGTGACAAATTATTAGTGTAATGATAAGGTGACCATACGTTCACCTAATAATAATACATAAGGTTTGCACCTTGCGTCCCGGGTTTTTCTAAAAGCAATATTTATCCCGAATTTAGATTTTTTGTCCCGCATTCTTCCAGTTTTTTTGATGATTGATAGGTACAATAACAAATATAATGAAAACAAATAAGTAAGGCTTTTGTTTCAAATTAATTATACAGAATAATAATATTATATAGAATTTTATACAGGGCTCAAAAGCGACAAAAACATATTAATCATTATGATATAATATAATATCATACATAAAACATTATTATATATAATTGAATAAAGAAGTTCTTACTAAAAGCCCGCAATTTTGATTTAAAAAAATTGATTCATAATAAAAAAAACTTATTTTATCGCATCCTTAAATAGTATTTGTTATTTTAAAGACTCCTCTCTTCCGTCCAGGATTGCGTAATTAAAAATTGTCGTCCCGGTTTTGTCTTTAAAAAAGATGGTCACCTTATTAATAAGAATTTGCAACAAATACATAAATTATACCAACAAATAAGTGTTTCATACAGTTCACAGCTACAAGAGTTAAATCATAACCCAACAACCTGAATTATCGAAGAAAAGACTTAATACGCAAATACACATATAAACTCAACTCACAAAATGCACATGTCAAAAAACTATTTTACATGAGTGCAACTTTCTGACGTCTCTTTAATAACACATTCAAGAAGTTAGGTTTTATGTGTAAAATGCCTGATTGCACAGCAAATACATAGCTTTTTTGCAGTTCGTTACTACTAACTAATACGAATTCGGACCCGTAACATAGCATTACCATAACATTTCTATTTTATCGGAGATTTGATCCCAATGTTTAACATGAACCTCTTATAACGAATCTTTTCCACAAACAGCAAAAACTTTTCATAACTAACGAGGATTAGTGAATTATCCTAGAAAGTGACAAAATTTGGCATGGACGCGTTTTTCGTTTTTAAGTAGCGATTTATACGAGGTTCCACTGTAAAAACTTTATCAAGAATTCAATTTCCACACTATAATTGATATTGAAGTACTAATAAAAATAATATTCCTAAAACTTGCCTCAAACATTTAAGCTTGTCAACTAAGTTTAATACAATGTGTGTATTTTTTTCATAAAAATTAAATTATATATAATTCATCATAAAAAATCATTCCGTGGAAATGTATATTGTATTCGCAATATAGTTTCAATATTCAAAATTTTTATTACTAAGCGTTTGTAGGTATATCTTAATATTATAAACTTCAAGATAAAGATAAATTGAAATTAAATTAGCAAATTATAATATTATTATTTGATTTGTATCAAAATTTGGTTTAAAATTTTATAAATTTCGTAGCAAATGCAATTTCATATCTCAGTTCATTTTTGGAATTAAAAAAGATAATGACTAGTTGACTACAAATTAGTTACGCGAGAGTTAAGTATAAGTACATGAACTTGTTTTGTATCACGAAATCGTTTAAATAATTTTAGATCGCATACTTTCATAAGAAATTATATAAAAAATATTTAGTATTAAATTTATTACTTGACAAAAAATTCGCTGCGTAGTAATAGTATTACCCTGTTGATCATGTATTGTATCCACCAAATTATTTAAAAACAAAGAGATAGTAAACAATTTGATCAAACTGATAATAACTAATAATGTTCATATAACGAACTACAGATACTATTGAACATGAAAATATGGTAATTACTTAAATGGTTCCTATATGGTATAAATAAATACGTCAGTCAGCATAGTCTTGTTTGTTTTGCAAAAACAAAATTTGAGATTTTGAAAGGATTGCAACTTTAGACAGTTTGAACAATATGTTTACTAAATTCTATTTATTATAATTAGATATTGTCATAGGTAGGTTTTGGCATTTGTTGCTTTCCATTGGCCGTAAAATCATATTCATATTGTGTTCTACCAATACGAGTTGTTTTATTTTGATATAAGAGCGCTGGTCGATCATCATGTCATTGCATATTGTCGTAATTAACATATGAAATCAGTAATATTGTATCGTGGACTAATGCGTTGCGACCGTTGATGCACGCTAACCTGGCAGGCGTGTTTCGGAAAAGATCTCTAAAAGGTAACTAACCCCCAGCTTGGGCAACACACTACTTCTACTTAAAACTTTATTTATTATGATATGTGAAAAAATCTTTTTTGGACCTATATATGCATATACATAACACACATTGGTTGAAAAATTATTTATAATCTATTTGTGGAATTTCGAACGTCATTTGCTTAATGATACTTTTTCAAAAAATTGGAATATTAAATTGAATATTCGAAACGAGATCACCGAAAGTATAAATTATATGGACACATGTTTAGTAGAAAACTTTTATACGTTGCAGTTGAGCATCTTTATTAAAATAATTCAATATTTAAAATAATATTTTCTCAATATTGTCAAAATTTAATGTGTCAATTATATAGCTCATAATAAGTTATATATTTTTTAGAAAAACTTGACTCAAATATTTGTAATTTTTTTTAATTATTTTGTTCATAATGAATAATATAAATATAACTGTAATGCATGAAAGTGATCATTAAACAATCTGATTGTCCATATAGTAGCGTATACAAGTAAGTGTATATTTATATATATGTATATGTATATGTACATGTAAATGTGCATGTATATGTATATTTAAATGTATATTTGCACGTGTACGTATCAAATGTTTCTAAAATGATAATGCTAACAAAATTATTGATTTTTTGGAATAATTCATGTTTATAGAGGTAATGATGTATGTGCATAAATACAATGCCTGTATAAACGTACGCATATTCAACACAAATAATGTATGTGACAGAAAGATCACTAACACAGTACACAAATATATAAATTAATCACGTTCGATTTATTTTAATCAATTCGTTGACCAAAACAAGAACACTGCAATCACAAATTATACTATATTGCTGCATTTCATTATCATTTTTTGTTTCTTAACTTTGTAGAAAACTTTTTGTCAATGATATCTACATATATATAATACATAAATTTTTACGAACGATAATTCATGATGACCAAGATAAATTAACTAAAAAATGAATAGATAATGCAATTATATTTTTAGGGCAAAGCATATAATGCTTACTAACTTCTACATTACTGATTTTATTAATGATTTAATTATATATGTAGATATTTCTTACTATGAATGATTTTTATTATAATTATTGAAGAAGGAAGTCGTTAGTTGCCCATAAAAGGGACTTTTCTGAAAAACCGACCCTGCTTTAAACCACCGCCTTACAGCATGCCGCTCATTGGTCTAAAAAGCTTCTTATTATAATTATGCATCATAAGAATGATTTTCACCTGTACATATATATATATATATATATACCCATCAGTGTATATATAGTCATGTAGTTATTCACTTAAACCATTTACGCTTTTATTGGCGTATTTTTCAACCACTAGGCAGTAGTCCTTATAACTCCAAACTCATTTTACATATAATATGTATATATACCTATCATTATAAATATACAATAAAATCGAAACATTCCTTCAAAACTGAATCATATTCCTTAAACGTAATTCAAAAATTTTTACACATTGCCCATCCGTGGTGAGTCTGATTTCCGCAATTGCTCATTTTAACATGAAACATATTTTCGATAAATATGAATTTAAATTCGTATACATTTACAACTAATACAATGTTAACTTTCTATTAAATTGTTTCACAGACACAATGCTGCTAGCGAATGAGATCTCGGGATAAATTTAAAATTAAATATTAAAAAATTATATCGATAATTTATTGAGATGATCTGCTTTATTAAAGTAAAATATTATCAATATATTGCTGATTTTTTGCAATAATTATGCTGATCAAGGGATAATTTCATTAGTAAAAAAATAATCTGTGTCAAATTTACACTGCTGTATGTCAAATATAAATTTGGTTTGAACGTAGTCGCTAGCAGTCTAATATATTTAAACAATTCAACTATGTTCAATTTTAAACAAAGTACACCATGAGACAAAAAAAAATATTGACGACAACTTCATTAGTACTCGCGTTAAAAATTGGTCCCACAACTAAAGCATTGCCGGAGCAAAATTTATGTACAATAATATTGAAATTGATTAATCTATTATGTAATTACCTAAATAGATAAGATAACTTTTTTTAATAAATTGATCTTCTACCATTATTGGAAAAACATTACTTTGTCCAATTACTTCTAGTTGTGGAAACCGTTCATTTACGAGTACTAGTGGCAAAAAATCATGCTAACTTTGACCGATTTTTAACGATTCCTGCATTTGAAATACGTTGTTTCAGGTGGAACAACACGGGCTCAATGGGAGGATGTGACAGGTTCAACTCCATTGACTTTTGTCAATGACTGCGTCTCATTCACGACCACCGTTTCGGCACGGTTCTGGCTGATGGACTGCCGTAATATCAGCGAAGCCACCAAAATGGCTACTGAACTATACAGGTCAGAAAAATTATCAAATTAATGTAAATTTAAATCGAATTCAACAACTAATGCTTATGAAATTTAGTTTACCAATTTTAAATTACATTCTCCATTGATCTATTACCATAGGGAAGCGATTCATGTGCCTTTCATGGCCAAGTTTGCAGTATTTGCAAAGCGAACGGATCCATTAGAAGCGCGATTACGCGTATTTTGTATGACTGATGACCGAGAAGATAAAACACTGGAACATCAAGAACACTTCACAGAGGTAGCAAAAAGTCGTGATGTTGAAGTCCTGGAAGGAAAAACTCAATATATCGAGTTGTCTGGCAATCTAGCACCTGTTACGAAACCAGGAGATCAGCTACGCCTTTCATTCCGGTACGGAATAATAATAAACTTTGTTTTCAACACATTAGGGTAGAGAGGGGCCTAAAGGACGGCGGGTAAAAAGGTCCACCAGCGGTATCTCAAAAACCAGTAACGTTAAGAATTTTTTAACAGCGATATTTAAAAGTAGAGGAAAAAAGATGTATAACCTTGATTAACCATCACCTTGATTCTAACGAAGTCGGTATCGGGAGATGGTTCGGTTTTCTCAATATAATTGCTCAAAGCCAAATTAGACCTTTGTGCCCCGCCCTGCCCTATTTGTGGAATTAGTTTTATTATTATATCAAATAGAATTTCAATTAAAATAATTGTATTAATTATTTTAAGGGCTTTCCGCGAAAACCGTCTTCCATTCTCAGTGCGTGTGAAAGATCCGCACGCAGACGCCGTAGGTCGCGCACTATTTATGCGTGAACCTCGTGTAGCAAAGGGTGAACCACCCCAGCAGCCGGTATGTGCCCTAAATATAATGCTACCAGCGGAAAGTGCTGATGAGCCGTCAGCATATTCAACTCCACAACGTCGAGCTGTCCGACCATATTCTCTTCGTGTTGCCGATGTGAGTAACTTGTTAGCAGATGACTGGGAGCGATTAGCTGTGGAGCTTGATATTCCGGAGTCGGAGATACGAAATATTCGTGAACGGCATCCGGATCGCGTTGCTCAGCAAGCACAAACAATGCTTACATATTGGCAAACTCGAGCCGCAGACAAACCAATAGGTATTATCTACCAGATGCCGATATTTATTCTGATATAAAACCGTGAATTAATTACAAATCATGTGTTTTTCAGGCATGACCCTCGAATTAGCTCTTAGGAGAATAGGACGAGATGATATAGTTCCTCATTGCGCTAATGTTGAAGGAAGAGAATCTTTACTTCCTGGACAATATTATGAGACGGATATAATGAAAACATCTGAGTCTGTAGAAGAATTAATCCACCCCGAAGGTAAAGACACATCGTTACATCACAACCACAAATTTATAATTTTACATATTTTAAAAATAAAGGCAGAAATATATTTCACGTTCAAAACTAAGATGTTTCTCTATAAAAATTAAATTCAAACGATTCTTTTCAGATAACCGATTAAGGAACATGCGCGAGCGCGTAGATAAGTACATGGCGGAGGAAAAGGATGTTGAAGACGAAGAAGCCAATTCAAAACGTACTGTTGCTGAGAGAAGAATAGAAATTGAGAAGCGTCTCTCCGCTGAGCGTCAAATACCAGCATCAACGCAGAAGAGTGAGATTGTCCAGGAAATAACTGACATTAAACGCCATAGTGTAGTCGAAGATACAATATCAAAACATGAAGATGTCATTTTATCACAAAAACTAGACACACAAAAACCAGACCATATATCTATAGCACCGATAAAAACGACCATTACCACAGTAACGACTCGTGTAACAGAGTCTAGTAAGACTGATCCATCAGAGAAACATATAGAAATAGTTAAAAGTACAACCAAAACAGGTATCCCTGTGCCACTTGATAGCGATTTAGAAGCAAAATTATCGGCACAGAAAGAAAAGATCGACACTTCCGCAAAACGCGCCGAACAAATATTAGTTACCACCACAATTAAAGAAATAACTACGGATACCAAAGCACCAAAAGTAGAGACGATAACGACAAAAACAAAAGGTTGATATATTATAATATTCTACAAAACTAGTTAATATGAGAATATTTTTGAATGAATGTTGTCAATTTGTTTTATACAGATTACGACCCAAAACGATCAACATCACCCAGCGACCAGAGAAGAGATTCCGCGTTGTTGGAAGGAGTTACTGAAAGTCTCGGAAAATTGGAGACTACAACCTACAAGATTACGACAGCTGACGTTGCTGATGGTGAGAATTATATATTTTTGAATACAATTATATAAGTAATATAATCATCATTGCACGCGCATACAGATACACACACAAACTGACACTTATTGAAGCTATATTCATAATTAATTTAAAAATATGTATTTTTCATTTAAAGCCATTAAATAGTGTTGTTTTTTTATTATTTCGACAGAAGTTGGCTCACCAAAAGTGGGTAAAACGCCTCCACCAAGTCCTGCGGAATTCAACCTACGCGATCACATCTCAACTGCAGAAAGATCATACGGCCAAGGTAGGATAATTTAAATATTATTATTTTAATACAATCGGTAAAAATATTGCAAAAACTCAACACTCACTTTATTGGTTTAATAAAAAAAATAGAAAAAAAACATTGACAATAACACAATATCAAAATTTGCTTGGAAAAGCTGGAATTGATAATATACAATTTTTCTTTTTGTAATGCATAAAAAATTACATGTAATTTCCATCTACCAAACAAATTTTGATTCACCCGATTTTTCTATATATTGAATATTTGATAAAATATTAGTTCACAAAAGTCGCATTACGATACCATCATTTTTAAAATTTGTTGATATATAAATAATAAATTTGTAATATATTTATTTGTTTTCTCTTCTGATTACTATGCACTCTTTACAACACTTGCAGATAATAAAGATACACAAAAACAGCATAAAGAACACGTTAAATATTTCACTAATATTAATCATTTGAAGTTTTAGAAATATCTATAAAAATTATAACAATAATATAGCTGTGTTTTGAATACTTTGGTAGCAACTATATTGATTATATAATATTACCAATACAGTGAGTTGGAGAAAAAATTGTGTAAAAAATTTTTTACACACATTTTTTTACATAAGCGTACACATTCTTCCAAGTCTCTGTATTTTGGAGAAAAGTTAAGCATATCAGTTCACTTTCAAATAATGATATAAAGATATACGAGCGTATCCGACTCGTATTTATTTATACATATACATATATGCAGAACCTGCGTATATGTATATATATATATGTATATATATATATATATATATATATATGTATTTACTTTTTCAAATTTCTGGCTGATTTAAAATTATATTATTATATTAAATTCTTGAACAATAATGCATTCGTTTTATTTTCTTGTTTATATGAACGTGTTTTTCTTTTAAATCCTGATATAAGAAAACATTAAAATAAAACATTGTACAATTAAATTTTAATTCTATTATTAGTGTTATATTATATGAAATTGTTATTTGAGTTTTGTTATCTCCATTATTGATTCATTTATGAATTAGTGTATTTGACATATAAATCGTGGCATCCTATATATCTAAATATAAACTTATTTTTTTTGTACTGGACTTGGAAAATGAAACACAAACCAACAAACCTAGTCTTTTAGTGAATGAAAAATTATGATTGTGTTTCTTGTTCAATAATTCAATATGAATAATATTGTCAGCCATTTCTTTATATTATCCAGAAGTGTAGAATTTTTTCTTAAAGCCCCATTACGTTACATGCCTGAAATAGATATGTCTATGTCCATTGTCCTTCAAGACTAAATAACAACGTATAACAACGTATAACAACAATATCCCACATATGTTCTAACAGTTATAAATTTCAAATATTAACGCCATTACCAAAATGTCATTTTGCTTTAAACAATAATTTTTATTTAATATAATATTTATCTTTAGTTGCTATCATCGCTTGCAATCACAAAGCTATGTTTGCTACCTGCATTGTAAGATAATACATAATATTATTATGCTGTAGCGTGTTTTACAATAATATAATTTAAATAAAATATTTGATTTGTTTTTAAATTATATCACAAAATAATACTCGTTTCCAACATTTTATGTAATGCTATTGATCTATAAGTTTGAGAGCAAACAGAACAATCTCTATGGACTATGATAACTTATTTTAATTGCATTAAAATGATGGAAACGTCTATATATTCGCACCTAATGCATTTTATTTGATCATCCGGAAATTTATTGATCATTTGCGTGGTTTACTATAAAATATAAAACACGGTTCATATAAAAAATCACAATGGCATGTTACAAAAAATACTATATGCCATTTTTCAAATTAATGAAACACGCTAGAGCGCACATATTCAATATTTTAACCGAAAAGCTTTTTAAAATTGGCCCAAGCAAGTAGAAATATTTTAGGTTTTATTGTTAATGTTTGATTAGTAATCAATGCGCTTTATTCGATTTTTTTGCATTATAATTGGTAAAGGTAAAATCTTCGTACATCGTTGGATTTATATCAAGTACTGATTACATGAAAGGTGCGTGTTTTACATACATAACAGTATATCAAAGATGTTAAAGGACAAATCACCGGTGAGTGATAATATATAAAAATTGATTCGATCATTTTTTCTTGTAACGTCTCAAACTCATGCATGTTATTGGAAAATAATAAACTGAATTGTTAAATATCAGTACTTTACATATAGTGATTCAGAAATTCAAAATTAAAGAAACAGTTTGACATAGGTAACTAATTGTAGAAGGTTGTAGAGTAAGGTTGCTTAAGACGTACCATTGCCTATGTCTAATAATAATAAATTACATCATTTGCTACCGTTAAATAAAACTATTTAGATGAGTAAGCAAACCTTTATAATTGGAATGCTGAACCACTATTTGAAAAACAAAATAAAAACAAGTGGTGCATGGCATCGTGCCTTAATGCAAATTGCCGGAACTTCCCGTACCGTAATTAAACATTCGAAAAACAAAAATAATCGAAAATCAATAGAAACTTATCAATGTTTAATAACAATTATTAGAAATAGTTTCAAAAATATTGTTGTTAATGCTGTACATAGACGTAATATAAAAGCTTATGAATTTGGCGACGAAAGGTACTGAACACTTATGGATGCATCATCATATAAATGAATCATCATACGAGTAGGGCTCTCATATTTCAAAGAACTATATGTAATATTCAAGATAAAAGGCATATCGTAAATATGTATGTGTATATACATTTTATTCAAAACAGAAGTTTTTTTGAGATTTTGGAAAAAAAAATTTTGTAGTTTTGAAAATTTCGAGTTTTTTTTAAAAACTATATTTTTATAATTTTTTAGAATTTTGAACATATTTTTTTTCAATTTTATAAACTATTTTTTTAATTTTGAAAAAAACTCGAAAACTAAAAAAAAATTAAAAATTGAGAATTTTGAAAAAATATGTTTTTGAAAAATTAAAAAAAAATATATTTTGTGCTTATTGGTACTGAACCTTAAGTAACAGTCCAATTTCCTGAACAAAATACAATATACACATACATTCATGTTTTCTAAGGTATGCCAAAATGTTCAGAAACCTTTGAAACGTAATGATATGCAAAAATTTTCATTTTTACCCTACGGGAAGCTAATAATATTTTTGTAAAGTCTTTTCTAAAAATTTTGGCGCAATCGTGAGTGCATTATAGCAAAAATATCATCTTAGCATTTTTTTCTTACTAATATTCATTTATATGACTAATTCAATAATCATTTAGGCATATTTAAATGGTTGAATTTGTTTAGGTTATGTCATTTCAATCATCGTAGACCTTGCTGCTTATGTCGTACCAACAAAATTTCTTAATCCCATCGAATTAATAGAATGCGTTCTAAACTTTTTATGATAAATCGAAGAAATAATGAAAAAATAACATTTTACAAATTTTTTGCTCAAAGTCAAAAATAACAAGTGGGTGGCTAAAACTACAGATGATACGACTACGCCTTAATTGTACAAAACGTAAATATACTTAATTAATTGAAAAATTACAATTTCGGTAATTTCGGCTAACTAAAACAATATTTAATAAATGTTAAAGAATCTTTTTCACTTCAATTGCACTACGTATAATAGCGTTATTTCCTTTGAGGGTACGACTTAAGCAACCTTACCCAATAGAAAGATGAACTAGCTGTAAGTGGAATTCTGTCTTAAGGTAATTAAGGCATCGTGCCTTAAGGCATATTGCTGGAACTTCCCGTACCAAAAATTATTAATTTTTTAAAAACGATTAACATTTTTGAAAAAAATGTACTTTGAAAAAATAAGATTTTTGAGAAATTATATATATGGACAAAAAATTACTTTTTTTGAAAAAAAATTTTTTTTTTTTAATTTTTTTTTTTGAAAAAAAAATTTAATTTTTTTTTTTGAAAAAAAATATTTTTTTCTTTATTTTGACATATTGTGGAAGATCTGAACTTTTTTTTCAAAGCAATCGTACTGATTTAACTGCATATGGAAAAAATATAAAGCGCGTAAGCGCCGCGTCGCTGTCTAACGCATAAGCATTGGTACGGAACCCATAGGAATGTTAACAAAATGTATACTTATTATTAAAATCTCTATAAAATATCTGATAATTTGATGTGCATATGTCTAATGATTATTTTTGACCGCCAAATGGCTAATTTTTTTACTTTTTCCTTCATATCTCCGAAACCGCTAGACCTACCTTTATGAAAATTTTATCGATTTTTCATCTTGTCAATACAAGTAAAATGTTTTTTGAATTATTTAAATCGGACGCTCCGTTCTCTTAAAAACTGAGTTACCGTTTTAGGCACTTTTTGCCCCGTATCTTCGGAACGGCTAGACCTGCCTTCGCCAAAAACTAATCAGCACGTCTCCTTATCAATACGAATCGAATGTTTTTTGAATTATTCAAATCGGTTGATCCGTGTTCCCGAAATCGTCGACGAAAATTTGTATCCGCACATACATACACACACGTACATACATACACACACACATACACACACACATACACACACACATACACACACACATACACACACACACACACACACACACATACATCCATTTTTTCTAAGGTATGCCAAAATGTTCAGAAACCTTTGAAACGTAAAGATATATAAAAATTTTCATTTTCGATTTTTTTGCGATTACTATAACTTGCCCTACGGGAAGTTAATAATAAAGTGTTTTCAATATACTTTTATAAACCGCAAGGTAAAATAAGGTATATAATAAAGTTGCATATCTAACGGATTAATATTGATATATTTAATTTCTATGATCCTATCGGATATCATCATATAATGCTTAATAACTTTAAATATGCATAAGAAATTATTAATAGGTAAATGCATAAATTTCATTTCAAAAACATCGTTCATTAGGCAATAACATTATTTATCAATTTATAGCTATTTAATGAAAAATGTCAAAGATAAAATTAATTATTTTATTAATTAATAAATTAAATAATAAATAATAATATAATAAATAAAATTATTTATTACTAAATTAACTTATTGAAAAATTCAGACTAATCGTTGTAAAACCTGACGAGGTTATTGAAATGATATATTTGGCATTCGTGTGTAATTGTAGCTTATAGGAAAACAATGTCAATATTTTTTTATTCTGGCACTATCTGCTTTTTTTCATTTTTTACATGGACTCAAGCTATATTATTGTAATGATATTTTGCTAGAGGATAAAATTGTACCCAGTATCCGCATTTCATTAAAAATTTTCAGTTATCGATCATTGTAAAGTATGCTTAAAAGAATCCATACAAGTGTAATTAATAAATAATCAATACAATAGCTATTGTAGGTTGCGAAAACAAGTAACTATTTTATTTATGTAGTAAATTAAGAAATAATTTTCTATGAAACATACAAACTACACAACACACGATTTTCACACAGTGCGATTTAAATATTTTATATTGTTGGTGAGTAGCATATCACAAATAATTTAAGTGAATCGTAATGCATAAGTGAATAATAAATTTCAAATATTCAATACAATATATTGTAGTCATATGTATGAAAACTATGTGCATGCAAAGATGAAATGTTTTGGAACTTATAAAACGTTATTATGAATACATTATAAACTAGTTGCAAAACATATCGTCAGCAAAATTTTCAGAGAGTATTTGTCCGGAAAAGCGCAGATATATAAATAAGGTGAGTTTGGACAATTACAGCATGACTTCGAACGTATAAATTTACAAACTTAAGTCTATATATATAGTCTATATCTATATATATATTAAAATATACTATAAATATGTAAACGTACTTGCGAGAACAATTTTTGCACTCATTTGATTCTACACTACTCATGCATTGCGAAATTCTTATGTATTAAATACCATTCACATCAGATAGCGTTTGATGACACCAATCATCAGTGCAAACGCTTTTCTCATAAATATGAATGGCTCTTAATATCCAGCAAAATCAGCATTTAAAGTTACATCATTCTTGAAGAAATATAAATATTTATAAAGCAGCAGAATAAATTGAAATATCCTTAAAATATTTTGAACCAAAACCGTATTGAACAACTCGACAACAGTCTTGGACAAGTCATAGACACATCTATACGTAAGGGCGACAACCTTCTTGTAATCTGTGGTTTTTAAGAAAGAATCACCATTTGAGCTAACATAATATAATCTACTATTACACGCTGCTCTCAAACGGATTATATCTGTTGACACTTGTCGATTGAAAATACAAGATGTGATGGGGCAAAAAATTATATCAAAATCAAATGAATCAGAAAATAACTACATTTCAACAACCATAGATAAAAACAAAACAAGCAATAATGATTTTGTGGTATCAACATTGATTAATAAAAGATTTATTCAAATGAAATGCACATCAGAATCGACTTATTCGGAGGTGCAAAACACAGATCGTAGTATTTCACTCCAACAAAC